CTCCATGGTGCCCAAGAGACCATAGCATTCCAACTGCTGCCAGTACATCAGGCTGTAGATTGTCAACAATATTGAAAACAACCTTTGTAGGCCATCAATGGGTAAATGTAAACCAGGAGAAATTTTAGATTCCATTTCCATGCTGAAAGCCAAAGCCAGGTACAGAGTGTTAATAAATTATCTTAAAGTTAATCACCTTTTCCTATCGTGTTCAGAATTGTTCTTGATTTAAAGTTGACTTTAAAATTTGCAGTAAGAAATGGTCCAGAAAGAAGATAATTTTTTTTTTCTTTTTTTTTCTTTTTTTTTCTTTTTTTTTCTTTCTTTGTCTTTTGTCTTTTTCCGTGTCCGGCAACGGATCGCAACCCTCAGTGTTGCCCCCGTACCGGGGGATTGCAACCCTCGGTGTTGCCCCCGCGCCTCGTTCAGCCAGTGAGCGGGAACCGGTCTGTATGTGGGATCCGAACCCTCGGGCGGGAGCGCCGCCGCACTTCCCAAGCGGCGCACTTATCCGGTGCGCCACCGGGCCGGCCCCGATAATTTTTTTTTTCTATTTCGGTCTCCCTACCCCACCCCACAGATTGAACAATTTTTTAGGAAGCTACATCAATTTCTGTTTCCTTTGCACGAAGAGACTGAGAAAGGTCTCCCCGTCATTGAACAAGTCAACGAGGAAGATGCACAAGTGACACAACTGGAGGAGGTGTTCAGCCAGCTGACCGTGGACGTGAGATCTCTCTTTAACAGGTGTTTCCATGTCTTCAAACAGATGCAGCAAGAATTCGACCAGGCTTTTCAATCATATTTCATGTCAGACACAGACTTAATTGAGCCTTACTTTTTTCCAGCTTTATCCAAAGAGCCAATGATGAAAGCAGATCTGGTGCAAAGTTGGGACATTCCCAACTTCTTCCAGCTATTTTGTAATTTCAGTCACTCTATTTATGAAAGTGTCAGTGAAACAATTACTGAGACGCTGAATGCAATACAGGACTTACCAAAACAAGACAAAGGCAAGTATTAAAAGATTACTTTCACTTCACTGTCTACACTAAAGTCAAGTCTTGTTTAGCTTTGGAAATGGTAGACATCTCTGAATCATTGTATGGTGTTTCTTGAAGTGTCAATTTATGGAGAATCGACGTTTCAGAGCCTCCTAAAAGGAGCTTTGAAGTCTGCCAAACACTGTCCCTTTTCCATTATTGTTGGGAACTCCAGTGCTGTTCTGTCTTTTTAGAGCAAATTTTCAAAGCTGAAAAAAGAAAAGCTAATCTGGTGAAAATTTGGAGAAAAACAGTTCCCTCCTTTGTTAAAGCTCATGCAGATGCTCAGCTCTATTCTGTTTGAAATCATGGACTTTCTTAAAATCAGTTTAGGATTCTTAACTCCCAGTTTGTGAAGAAGCCTAGTCTCAGGTATAACCAGGTCACATGTAATGCCCTCCACGACCTCCTCTAAATCACTCCTATAATTCCTTAAATCATAAAACTTATGCATAAAACCATAGAAAATGCTCAGACAAACCCAAAACTACAGAAATAGAAATTATACAAGGATCTCCTTCTACCAATACTAGTCATGCCCCTAATATTCCATGTTGGAAAAACAAAGCTGTTTTATGTTTTAAGGCAGGAGATATCTCCTCTGGGCTTCTATGGAGTAGCTGGGACACCGTGTTTCAGAAATTAGAGTTACCATGTGGGCCAAGTGTAGGACCTGCCTTTCCTCGGACTTATCTCTTATTGACCACTAGGCCAAATAAAAAGCTGTTCCCCTCTGAGAAGAAAAATAAAATGGGTTCTTCTAGCTGACTATTTTCCAATTATATTAGCTGTAGCTGGCAACATCTGAATCAGATTTTTGAAACTGCCATGACCTTGCATAACCGACCTCTGTACAGGAAGGGCTTACCTCCAATGCTTCAGAAGCTGAAGCCAGGAAACAATGCACTACACCCTTCCCGTCCCACTGTTCCATGAGCACAGAAGCTGCCATCACTAGAATTGTTGGGTCCTCTTTGGGGGTCTGGGGGACTTTTCATGTGAGTCAGGTGTTTTGTCTGGTATTCCACTCTGGGGTTCCATATTCATCAAATATTCAAGAAAAGCATCACGGCAGTAGAGTAAATATATCAATGCTGGAGTGGTAGCAAATAATTTTTGCCTGGCCTTTTAAATAGTTATCAATTGTCTTGGAATAATATTCAAAATATGTTCAGAAGAACAAAATGATGTCCCCTTTCATATTATAACCTTACACATGTGTATACATTTGGATATAGAAGACTGGAAGTTAATGAATTTGTGTTGTTTCTAGCCACTAAATTTGTGGTGACATATTATAGCAGCAATAAGAAACCAATACATGCCTCAATTACAACAGCCAATATTTACTGAGTACTGTGTGTCCGGCAACCTTCATGGATAGGACTTATTGGTCATGAATGTTCTAAGAGCCACAATTAGAAAAAGAGATAAATCTGAATAATGAACACCATTAAAAGGAGAAAGAAAATAATAAAAAAAAATTTGAAATATCTTGATATTTAATGAGAGATCTGGGTCTGATGCTGCCTTACAGAGTATTTACCAGCCTTGATTTTCCTATGGAGGGAAACAGAGAAGCCGGTGGGGAAGTAGATGATTATCCTAGGAACAGCACTGGCAGAAGCACCCAGAAGGGTTCTGAGGTTCTGTCATGGCCTGACTGAGTGAGGGGACGGGTTATGCTATGGGTGCCAGATGGGGAATTGTGTCACATGGACCTAAAATTTGCCATCCCTGATCCCATTAATACCAGGTATTAATCTAGATGTGGGGAATGAAACAATGATTATGACACAGCCGCTGACTTCTAGAAGCTCAGTCCAGAAAAAGGAAGACAGACAGATTTGTGGACAATTACATCACCCTATCATAAGTAAAAAGGCAGAAGAAAATACAGAAGAATGACAAGATTAAAATGGCGCGACCAACTTCCTTCCCTCAAGAGGCTCAGAGTCCACGGGGAAGATAAGAAAGCAAGTGCTCCGTAAATCAGGGATAGATTCTGCAGGGGAGCTCCTCACAGGGGGTTCCGTGAGGCAGAGAGGAGGAGGGTCAGAAAGGCAGCTGGGAGGAAATGACTTTCTAGTCACCAGACGAGAAGGTCGCCCTACACCCCTTACAATGTACCAATGCTTCATTGTTTTTAAACAATGGACTGATCTCAAAATCAAATGTTTTGATTTCAAATGTTGAGGACTTAATATAAAAGAAAATCGTCATATTATAAATTAGCAATAAATTTCTCCTAATGTCAAACACTCTGTTGGGAACTGCCAACTTTCTGTCGTATAGACTTCTCTTTTACATCAACATTTTCCTATGGATGGCCCCCTTGCCTCAGGTCTGGTTGGGGGTGGTGCAGCACATTCTTTTTAAACAAGTTATGTGTGGGTGGAGTTAGTACACATGCGTGCCCATGAATTTTTAGCTTGTTGCTATTCTTGTGTTCTTTTTTGGTGTGTGAAGCAGAGGTTCTGAACTGCTGGTCAGCAGAGCTCACATCTAGAAATAAAGACTATTATTTCTTCACCTATTTTCCAAGGACCTTTTTCCTGTTACCTAGCTCACAGACCTGTGTGTGAAGGGTTTGTGACCCAGTCTGGACAATGGGCTCAAGGAGTCTGTGAGCTCCAGACCAAGCCCTAGCTCTACAAGTACTTATGAAGGTCTTGACTCAATAATGGGGAATAATTAGCTAAGAGTGAGTACTTCTTCAGACCCACTTATGAATCATAAAAGCAAAACCCAAAAAGATCAAACTGACCAAGTAACTTAACTGTATCCCAGAACAAAGCTGAAGAATATTTATAGAAAAGGTGAGGTGTGTGTGTGTGTGTGTGTGTGTGTGTGTGTATAGAAGAGTGATAGAAAAACAGGCTGCACAGTTAGCTCAGTTGGTTAGAACATGTTGCTAATAACTCCAAAGTGCAGATTCCTGTATCAGTCAGCTGCCCCCCCCAAAAAAAGTTTATAGAAATACAAAAATATCCAGCACTCAAAAAAGTAAAATTCACAATGTCTGACATTCAATCAAATATTATCTGCAGGAAAACACAACTCACATTGAGGAAAATAATCAAAACTGACACAAATGCTAGAATTACCAAATACATTAAAACAGTTATTTCATATATTATGGGATACAGTCTTCCAAGTATAGACATTAACAACCAAAATCAAACTCTCAAAGATGAAAGTTATGCCTGAGTTGAAAAATACAGCGGATAGGATTAATGGCAGATTAAATATATTACAAAAGATAAGATTAGTGAACTTCAAGAAAAAGCAATAGGGAGTTCTGATCAAGATGGTGGAATAGACGGGCCCTGGGGTCACTCTCTCCCACAAATCAACCAATTTACAACTATAAAAATGTAACATCAGCCAAGCTGGGGCCGCTAGAGCTCAGGGGAAGAGGAGGAGAAACCTACGGAGTTCATGAAGGCGGGAGAAACCACGATGAGAGAAAGAAAAGGCTGCTCTGCGCATTTCGGGCTGTGGCTGCTTTAAGGCTGGAGCTGCTGAGCACATGGAGCAGGAGCCAGCAGAAGCTGCAGCTGTGCCCTTCAGATGGAGTTACTGGGAGGTGGCAGGGGAGAAGGGGCCTTGGCAGCCCCTGGGACAGCAAGACCACTAATAGGGTTCATGTGGACCCACACAGGAGCGAGGAGCCAGAACAACTGAAAGAAAGGAGCCATTCAGAGACCGGTGAGTCATCACACAGGGCCCATCCGATGGGAAGTGTTTGCAGCACGGGCGGTAGGGGAGATGGGCCCACCAGGGGAACACTGGGACACAGTAAGGACAGCTGATCTGCCCCCAATCAGCATAGAACCACTCAGAGGAGACTGGTCAGGAATGCAAAATTGCGTGGGGTGCAGTTTGATGAAGAAACTCAGGCCCAGATCAGTTTCTACACAACCCAGATGCACTGGGTCTCTGGAGAGCCAGAAGTACCTATAAGGTCAACCATTAAACCCTGAGCTGCACAAAAGGCCTTCCCTAGGGAAACAGCAGCAAAGCAGCAATTTAAACAACCACACATCTCAAGTACTGTTTCCCATAGGAAATTCCCCATGTTAGAAGCAAAGGACAAAAAATTAGTTCCAGCCCAGCACACCACCAGCACCTCAGGGCCTGCCTGGGAACTGGAGGCTTGGATCTGGGGACCGGACCCCACTACCACTTCCAGGCAAACTGTACCAGTGCCTCGGGAGCCGCCCAGGGACCCAGGGCATGGAGAAGGGAACCGGACCTCTCTCCCACAACCAGGCACATCATGCCAGAGCTTCAGGGCCCAGCCAGGGACCCGAGGCATGAAGAAGGGGACCAAACACACCCCACAACCAGGCATACCACCAGTGCCAAGGAGCATGCCAAAAACAGCACCTCCATGTGGGTGGCCCACCACAGCCACCACAATAACCATGGCTGCTGCAAAAGTGGCTAGATGCTGCAACCACCACGCAGATGGTCCACCAGCCCTTGGAGTGCATTCACACAAGAAGAGTCACCAGGGCCGGCCCAGTGGTGCACTGGATAAGTGCGCCGCTTGGGAAGCGCAGTGGCGCTCCCGCCCGAGGGTTCGGATCCCACATACAGACCG